TTAAGAGTAACTCTCCATCACTGTAACATGATACTATATACAGTCAGAAAGTATATACAGTCAGAAACTTTCTGACTGTATATAGTATCATGTTACAGTGATGAAGAGTTACTCTTAACTCGTATCCATATGTCCTTTCCTCTTCTACATTTATTTATGGCTCAACATCCGAGTTTCAAATTATTATTATTATTATTTTTAACTGATTTGAGGGAAAGAGACAAACGGGAAAAGTCTGAAGAAAAAATTAACTGTCACCACCAGGACTCGAACCAGGGACCCTCGCTTGTAGCCAGCGATGCTCTAACCACTGAGCTATGGTGTAGTCGTCCTCCCAGCAGAGGCCGTTCAACATTTTCTTCAGACTTCGTAACTCACACTTTCTGTGAATCCACACAGGCGGGTGGGACGCAGCCCTCACTGTAACCCACACACCTCACGTACAAACTAGCACGCGGGGAGCCCCAAGTCCTAAAATATTAACTGATTTGAGGGAAAGAGACAAACGGGAAAAGTCTGAAGAAAAAATTGACTGTCACCACCAGGACTCGAACCAGGGACCCTCGCTTGTAGCCAGCGATGCTCTAACCACTGAGCTATGGTGTAGTCGTCATCCCAGCAGAGGCCGTTCAACATTTTCTTCAGACTTCGTAACTCACACTTCCTGTGAATCCACACAGGCGGGTGGGACGCAGCCCTCACTGTAACCCACACACTTCACGTACAAACTAGCACGCGGGGAGCCCCAAGTCATAAAATATTTTACTGATTTGAGGGAAAGAGACAAACGGGAAAGGTCTGAAGAAAAAATTGACTGTCACCACCAGGACATTATTATTATTATTTATTATTATTATTAGTCAGTTTGAGCACTCTGGCAAGGTACGTTTGGGCCTGATTGGAAATTTTTATTTCCATTGCTATCAGGTTCGGCCTCATTTTCTCTGTGCTGCGCTCATGAGTTCAAAAAGAACGAAACAGCATGCTGTCCGCAGATTGAGTATTTATTAGTATTTATTATTATTATTCTCAATTCATGGATGACATGGTGTCAACCAATATTATGAATGAGGGCTACCAGCCATGGAATAAAAGAACAAGAAGAGGCAAAAATGCACACGCAAAATATGGCAAGTTAAATGAAAATGAAAATGAAATAAAAAGTAAATCAATCCAAAACCAAAATCAATTATATATCAATCCAACACCCAAATAAATTGTACAGGTAGCGTATGTGATTTACTTTGGAGCTTGAAGTAATACACAAAAAGAATGAAAATCAATGATTAGTAAATGAAGATCGACGTACGTGTATATTTATCAAGCTTAAAAACGCATTGAGGGTGTTGCTGGACTTTAATTGCTGAGGAAGAGAATCCCATAATTGGTATGCTAGGAATACAGGCGATTTGCTCATGGAATTGTTTCTTGAAATCGGGAAACGAAGCGAGTTCCGGCTTGTTGAGGATTCATTGAACCAGTTTAAGGAATGCTGCACATGCTGAGGGGCAGTGATAAGTTTGATTTTGTGAATGTATACGCAGGAGGATCGGTCAATGTAATGTTTCAGAGGAAATGTACAGCAATTTTCATAGAGAACGGCTATGTTGGTCTCGGGCGGCAAACGAAGTATTGCCCGGAGAATCCGTCGATGCACAATCTCCAGCTTTGCAAAGAGGCCATTACCAGCGCCACACCACACCACACAGCAATACAAAAAAATAGGCAAAACGTATGTATGATAAAAGGTCTTTCGGCATTCTGGTGAAATGTAGGGGAGATGGCCATAAAGAATACCGACGACTGAGCTTGCCCGCTTTTCCAGATTCTGGAAATGGTGGGACCAGTCCAATTTGCTATCAAGTGTAACGCCAAGGTGCTTGTGACGAGAGGTTATAGGTATCGGGGTAGGATCATCGGGGAAATGGAAAATAAAAGTTTGAAGATGTGCAACATCTGAAGACGCGTTGGGGACGACAAACATGATCTCGGTCTTGGCGGAGTTCGGCCGGAGTTTCCACCTTCGCATCCACTTGACCACACAGTCTATTCCTACCTGCAGGTCTTGACACGCGACGGAGAGCGACCGGTGACTAGCCAGCACTGCAGAGTGGTGTCGTCCGCATATAGCGAGGTGTTGGGAATTGCACCGATATCATTCACATACATTAGAAAAAGCAGGGGCCCCAGAATTGATCCCTGGGGGACACCAGAACACACGCGTTCAGGGTGGGACAATTGACCCGAGATATTTACTTGCTGTGAGCGACCACACAGGTAACTCTCCAGCCACCGCAGTATGCGTCCTTGAATCGAGAATGATGCTATCTTAGCCATCAGCCCACGGTGCCACACAGTATCAAAGGCTTTAGATAAATCGAAGAAGCAGACTAGGCTGTACTCGCTACGATGGCGATTGTCATGCAGGGATTGAACAACTCGAAGTAGCCGTCAGGCTGTTGAATCACCTCGACGGAATCCGGACTGTGATTGATGGAGATATGGATCTACATGTGCATATTACTTGTCATACATTATTCGCTCACACAGCTTTGATATCGTTGAGAGAAGGGATATGGGACTATAGTTCGTCGGATCCGTTCTTGCGCCTTTGTTTTTGTACAGCGGGATGACGACAGCAGCTTTCCAGGCAGTTGGAAAAATACCGGTGGAGAAAGACAGATTGAATAGCAGACTCAAAGGAAGCGATATCGACGGGCCAATCAATTTCAGCAGCTCGTGTGTAACTCCATCAGGTCCCGCAGCTTTCCGGAGCTTTAGACGCTTGATGCATTTATGCACGGCATAGGGCGTGGTGAAGATAGAGGTGAGCGGCGGCGCAGTCGAGGCGTCCTGCAAAGGCGGGAGCGTCCACTGAGGGTTATCCGGAGTACCAAATGCAATGAACTGCTTATTTAGGGCATTTGCAATGTCGTCAGGTGATTTGATGTCAGCTCCTCGGACGGTGCGGCGTGATACAGTGGGTTTTCCGGTGGAGTCCGACCGCAAACGTCGGATAAAATTGTGTAGATTCGGTGATGGTATTTGGGCCTTTTGGGAGAATGAATCGAGAGTGCGGAGAAATCTGCGGTGCTCCAGCCGCGAGAGGTTACGGGTCTTATTCCGTTCCGCCTTATACACAGCTTGATTTTTAGGGGTTTGATACTTCCTGTACACACTGTACGAGTCACGCTTCCGTTTGATTCGTTCTCTTAATGCTGGTGTTAGCCAAGGTGGTCGGGCAGATTTCGAGGGTGTGCATCGGATTGTCGATTTGCGTCGCTCTAGATAGGACTGCAGTATCTCCTCCAAAGTGTCGTGCAGCATATCTGCAGATAGGGATGGATCACCCCGATGTAGTTGGAGTACAGCCTCCCAGTCAATATGGAATAGACGCTCATTGAGCGCAACTGCCCTTTCATTCGGCACGGATGAGATGTTCAATGAAGCAAGGTGTGGCACAAGGTGATAAGGTGTGAGTGGTGAAAGTAGGTGTAAAACTGTTTCAGTGACCAAGGTTTAGGTTCAACTAAAAGGACAATGACTCAATCCAAGTCTGTTCATTTCCTAAAACTCAGGCTGTGCTGCTGCGCCGTAGTGTTGTCTATTTCCGCTTCATTTTTGGTTGTTTTTGACAACATTACATTTATGCACAAGAACTCATTATCTTTGATTTGCGATATTAGCAACTTTTGGGCTTTTTCTGAAATTATGGATGCGATTTCAGCAACTTTCACCTGTTTTAGAACGGTTGGAAAACGCATAAGTTGCGAATTCTTTATGGCATCTTTGGGAAAGGGCTACCCAGGTTTCTTCTTGGAACCCATCCTGTTTACCTTGTTGTGTTGTCCTGCTACTTCTCTCCCCTCTTCTAACGAGTAGGTTGCATCTTAAGCAAACCAAAATGTTGTTGTCAAAGCCTATCTTGTTGAGTGTAAGATATGTATACAAGAAAGGAATTACACACAATTGCTTCAAGTACTAGTATATTACAGATGAAAGCCAGACAACTCTTACAGATTAATAACAGCCTCGAGAGTATCCATTGACATTGTGCCATTGCTCGACCTGGCAGAGAATTCCGAACGAGGTTCAGGTAGCAAGACATGAAACAGGTAGTACGCGGGGTACATACATGTATGCAGCCAAGAAAAGAAAAGAATCAAGATAATAAATTAATAATTATGAACAAGCCATGCAACAATGCCGGAAACTCATACTGGAGTACATAATATACATTGTATCACTCATGTCGGTGTTTACATGTAGGATGGCAAGAACTATACTTGCATATTAGGCCTTGACGGATTATGCTAATATTTTCGTGAAATTATGCTTTTCGCATTGCTGGAAAAATTGCAGAATTATGCTATTTTTATGCTAAAAGTTATCATATTATGCCGCATTATGCTCATATATGCTGCTAATGTATAATGATGGTTCTGTGCAAAATAACAGGGGATTTTTTTTATAGGGCGTTGTACTGTAGTAGCAAAAGTTCAACGGGGTCAACGCACCGTCCGACCTACAATTGTAGCTACGACCATCACTGATTGTAATGGACTGAACATGTTATCAAGGGAGTCGTAAACCTACGACTTCCTGGTGTATCTACTTGTACTTGTAGAACATGTGCAACTCTATGGAATTTGGTACGAACAGGCGGATTATTCCATTATTTATGCGATTCGTATGCGATTTGCCTCGAATTATGCGATTATTCGATTTTGGTAGGAATTATGCGAAAAATTATGCTAGCATAATCCGTCAAGGCCTATTGCATATTAATGGGTGACATTGACTAAAAAGCATCCTTGTCGGCAGAACACTGATAGTTGTATTTTTCCTGCTGAATTACGTGAATTCGAACTACATGTACATGACTTGCTACTTGAATACTGATCTTGCATGTCCAAAGAACGTATAGCAAACTGACCTATTCCGGTAAACTCATATCCCAGGACCTACATCTGCTATGCCCTTATTGGTCAGATTCAGGATCAGGATTGGAGCATGGCCGTTTTTCTGCGCCCCGCACTTCCGTGTCCTGGTCTTAGGCGTCCAGCTACCGATTTGGGGGTGCCCAGTTCCCGATTTTGGGCGGCCTGTTCATAATTTAGGTGGTCCAGCTCCCGATTTAGGGCGTCCTTCTCCCTCTGCTGCGCGTCCGGCTCCCGCAGTTGAGCGTCGGGCTTCCGCAGTTGAGCGTCCTGGTCCCGCTGTGGGGCGTCCGACTCCAGTTTTAGGGCATCCAGCTCCTTCTCTGGGTCGTACAACTGTAGATATTCAAAGCATTGCTGTTTCGCGGCTTTGACTCGACTTGCCACTTGCCAATTTTGGACATACCCCAACTGAGCGCGAGGCTCTCCAGGGAACCACTGCTGTGAAACCTGACTTCGCCATTTCTCGTCTTGGGCATCCCTCTGCTCGTGTGTTTGTTGCCGGTCTTCGGGGCCAAACACATGCCCATGCAACCCTTGGGGGAGCCGCACTCCTTCGGCCTGCGATTGTGTTTGCCGTTCTTGAGAATCCCGGAATGCCTGTCGCCCGACTTCCGCATCTTGCACTGATCCGCACCATGCTCTGGCTTGCTGCTCTAGATCACTCAACTCTCGGACGTCCATTTCACGGGTGAGCCGTTTTCGGGCATCCCGGAATTCACAATCCTGGCATGCCGGTTGCTTGGCTTGGTCGTCTCGCTCCTGGGCGCGTAGCTCTTGAGAATCCCGACCTTTTTCAGCGGACCGCTCTTGGTCTTGCTCTTGGTCGTCCCGCTCTTGGGTGTCCTGGTCTGGGGCATCCTGCCCTTGGGTGTCCCGCCCTTGGATGTTCTGCCCTTGGGTGTCCTGCTCTTGGTCGTGCAGCTTTTGGGAATCTCTCTCTTCAGCGTCCTGCTCTTCAACACCCCGTTCTCCGATGTATGACATCTCGATGCAGTATTTTACCGTTATCCGTAAGAGAAAAAGAAAAATACAGAACTGAAAAGCCGGTGGATAACCGTTTTTATGTATTTGAAACTTTCAACTTATAAATGGGCCTTTATTCATCGTACTGTGAGATGGATAGCACCAAGAGAAGCGAGGGTAACAGTGTCATCGCGGAAGAAACAGGTATTTATGAGGTGGGGAGTTGCGCTTTGAAGATGGGGGGGGGGGGAGGTCCACTGCTGCACTGCATCATGCCAAATGGCAGGAATTGAGGGGCCATCAAACTTTACAGGCAAACTGATTAGACACCGCTCCACGATGGACATGTTATTGTGACTAATGATTGCTGGTTTCAAGTCATTATTAAGGGGGCAGACTGGTCGTAAAATCCCTGAAAAGTGGAATTTGTAAATTCATATCGAGTGCTACATCAGTTGAAAGGGCATGAACAGCTGCAAAATCTCTGAAATTTTGTCTCGATCTGACCAGCCGTTCAAGAGTTATGGCCGAAAGTGTGCCCTTGCAAGGAAAGATTATTTTGTTGCACGCTGTCATTTGTTGGCAGCACTGTATTTGAATCTGAGCAGACCGTGCGCAACTTGTCGTATCATAGAAACACGCGAAAGTGTGCAGAACGTTGTTCCAAGTCCCAAAAAGTCCCAAAAATCACGTTTTTTAGCCACGTATTGGGCTGCACGGCGGCAGGCGAAGCCAGCAGGACTTTTGCCAGCACCCTCGTGACGTTGCAGATATGTGGCTTGATTATTGTAGTTGACGTTGATTTATTGACTTTGGCAAGTTTGAGTCGTGTCAAGAAGTCAGGTAGGATTCAGTACTAGGCAGTAGTGGAACGTGAGTGGTAATCTTTGCCGGTTTTTGAGGGTATCCTGGATTTGGTGTGCAGCGCTGTGGAAATGGCTTGCTGTGGAAGTCCCAGCACTGGATGCTGTATCAAAGGTACGACCTGGTAGCCTGGTAGCCTCTTTTACGGGCCAATAAAGGATCCAATCTGAACAGCAATGTCAATAAAGCCGCTCATAACGCTAAAAATCAAATCAATTCAGGAAAATTCAATTCAATTCAAAGTCGTGACACATCCGGTAAAAAACAGCAAGAAAATTTTTGTTCTTCTCCTCCCCTTCTCCCTTCCTTGCCGTGGTTGGCTAACACCCTCTCTCTTTGTTTTGGCCGGTGTTCTCACTGTGCTATGAGATGCTGTAATAAATAAATAAATAAATCGGTGCAAAAGAAGAAAAAGGAAATAAAAAGCCGCTTCATTTTAAAGGACCAAATGAAGAAAAGCAAAGAAATACCCACATCAGCGCTAAATTGCACCTTAAATTATAAACAAAAACATGACGCGTCCATTAGCATTGAGGACACTGCCATTAGCGAGGTTATACACACCACTGTTACATCCGTCCCTCAGCCATGGCTAGTGGGCGCAATGCATTTACCGGTCGATGGTATGCAGAGCGAGCCCCTCTGATGCACATAACTGCAGCTCGGAGGAGTGCAAACGACAGATGGCATCTGACATAGTCCATAACCTCGCCGTAGGGCTTGCCATCATGCTGTGCCAGCATAGCGCATAATCGCTTCAAAAACCGCAAGCATTCTGGGGATGCACTGCCAGCCGTGGTGAAGACAAGAGGGGTAAAGTTACCACGGTCAACATTGACAATCCTTTCGCTATACTGCAGCTTCTTCTGCCTCTCGTGCTGGAGAAGGAGGTCAGCGATGGGCTTCTTTGCGTACGAGGCGGCGTCAGGATGAAAGACTCGAATGTCAAGGAAAGTGTTCTGTGCCCTTGTCCAAAACCCACGTATGCGGACGTCAGATCGGGCACCATTTGCCGTGTTGGTGCTGGCAGCTCTGAAGACTTCGCCCTCCAGCGGCGCGAGCAATGGCTCCACAGACACGTCAGGGCACACCTCCGTGACTAAGTCCGCTATCATGTCTCGTACCTCGTTATGTCTAATGGTAGGAAAGCCCCCGGTTGGGCAGCACATCGCATGAGCCACGGTGAAATCCTGGCCACACACGCATTTCTCCGGGACATCCCTCAGAGGCCATCCGTACCTCAGCGCAATGGCATCGCGGAAGTCGCACTTGGACAGACTGAAGCCGTGCTCACGCAGCGGAAGGGTGTGGAGCCAGCTCGATACACCCTTGGCCGAAAGGTGTTCCAACTGGCGGGCGGCAAGCGGAGTAAGTGTTTCCTTGGCGCTCATATACCGCTGTTCGTCATGTTTTAGCCGTTACGCCAGAGCTGCTGACTTGGCTCGCTGGGCTGAATGAATTGCATGCTCTATCGATATCGAGGGCCTGGACCGGTCATTCTGGTCGAGTATCTCCAGCGTTTGATCTGATGTGATTTTCCTCGACGTCTCCAGAGCCCCATTAGCCATTTGAGACAGCGATGGCACGGCAAAGCCACCCAGGCGTGTGGGAAGCTGAAGAACAGCCCATTCGTTGTCCGAAAATGCCTCCCTGCCAGTTACCGCAGGTATCAATACCGTGCGCATCATGTCATCCATCTGAGAGAGGCAATCGGCTGGAAAAGCCCCACTCGCCTACTCGCCGCCGCATATGCTCGGCAACAGCATCAGACTCGCCAATGTAGGAGCCTAGGTATTTCGTGGCGCCGGTCACGATACGTATGCCAGTACCAGCAAACATATTGTAGGCTTCCTCCTCCTGCTCGGGCTTCACGAGAAGAAGCGTTTTCTCCGGGTTGGTGTTGTATCCGTACAGCTTGCCTTGTTCCTCAACGCTGTCCCACCATCCACGGAGACGAGTCAACTGCCCACCCGCACCAGAATCATCTGCATACCACGTTTGCCGTACGGTAGGATGCACAACCTGCAGTGCCTGGACTAGAGGGAGCGTCGCTAAAGCGTAGAAGACCATGGACAACGGGTCACCTTGCGTAGTGCCCTCGTCGGACGAAATCTCACCACCACCTGCAACAAAGAGTCGAGCCGGGGTGTTATACGAATTTTTCAGTATTGTCGCAATAGGTGGACACAGGTATTGTACATTGTGCAAAGCTGCTTGTCTGTTCAAGCAGTTGAAGGCATTACGTGCGTCTACCAAAAGAACAGTCTCGCAAGACTCATCATCATAAAGGCGTTGCATGGCATGAACAGCAGCTTCGATGCCCGCAGGAAGACCCGAGCATTTCTGTATGAAACCCCACGCTTCTTGAACATCTTGGTTAACAACTTTCAATATCGCTCTGGTAATGATGCGGCGCAGGACTTCCCCAACACCGATTGGGCGCACACCAGGCTTCTTGTCCAGAGCCACAAGTCGGCACGCGAGAAAGGGTACCAGGCCAGAGGGTGCAACGTTGGAACTCGCAAGGAGGTGCGCGAGTCCAGACATTGCACTGCACATATTTGTCGATGCGCCTTTAAATGAAGAGCACATCCTTCGCCAACAAGCCGAATCAAGACCAGACGGTCCAGCCGAACCCTCGCAATGCAGCGCCGTGTCTCGCAATAGTGAGGACGTGAGCTAGTCGAATCGGATTGGGTGGACGTTCTCCCGGGCACCCTGCAAGAGTACCTCCGGGGAGGCAGCCTGCACTGCAGGGTGCTTCTCTTGCAATAGCTGGCGCACGGTTGCCTGAGAGCCATCAGAAGACGTCACCACGTCCTCAAGCTTCAATGTGCCGGCTGTGGATTCGGGCTGCAGACTTTTCAACGCCTCATTCACCCTGCCAGCAGTCATACAGTCGGCGAAACGTCGAGCCGCATCGTCCTGTCCGCGCTTCCTGTCGCCCGAGGCCCGACCCCCTGTGCTGCGCTGAAGAGAGCGACCTTCCTCCAGTAAAGACTGAATGTCGTTACTTTTCCAAAGCCGCATCCGCCTCTGTAGATGACCACTGTTTTCCTTGTCTGTACATTTAGCTCCCGTCCGCTGCAGCGTGAGAACCGGCAGGATGGAAAAGTAGAATAGTGCATCGGTGTCGTCTCCGCCAGACTGAACATACTTGTTGATGTAGGAAGAGAGCTCATTAACAAGCTCCTTCCCGACAGAACCACATGATATCTTGAAGAATGACTTCCTCCAGTGAACCACCTCGTCGTATATCTCCTGGGCCAGCGGAGTACTGGGTTCCATCAGGCCGGCTGTTGGGATGCCAGGCGCCTGTGCCGAAGACACTGGGCGTCCCCCACCAAGAGACCCGTCCCGTTGAGAAGCGCCCGAGCCCTCAACCCCCAGCAACGCGATGGGAGGTGCCGTGGCCAACAATGGTGGAATGTCTTGGCTTGATGATGCTGGTCCGTCGCCACTCACCGTCTCCATATCAATCAGGCTCACTGACGATGCCTCAGCTAACACAGGCACAGCACGAGTCGAGGACGATAATCTCGCAGGAGGTCCCGGGTCAAGCGCTGAGTGGTCGTCATCACTGCGGGGATGTGTGCGGGGATATGTCCGTCTGGTCCAAGCGGGAGGCTGACTGTGCCAATTAGTTGTGGGGTCAACGCCGCGATTGGCACTCGGTACACTTGATGCAGCGACCACTGGGACGTGCAGAGCACATCCAGAGGGTTGCGAAACGACACTGGTAGGATGACCTGCACCTTGACTACTATTATCGCCAGCGGGTCGGGAACTGTCATCAGCGGTCGATGCTGTGCCGCGATTCTTGCACGTCGATGGGGTATTGCGACTGGGGTAGCAATCTGTACAGACGGTGTGAGAGGTCTTGCACGGGCACCTGGCACACTTTCCAATTACCGTACACTGACAACAAGGCATTATCGGTAATGAACACCGCGCTCCGCCGACCTGTAAGGGAGAAGCTAGCAATACCACCTCCAGCCGCACGGCATCCCAACGCGAGGAGTGCGAGTCCAGGGATGATGAAGACGCCACAAGATGGTGAAACTCTGCTAACTAAAAATACACGTCAGACACAAGGAAAAAAAGAAACAAAACCCAGCACAACACTGGAAAACAGCAGCAAAGCAGCGGTCGCATGCAAGGCTTCTTCTCCCGTGTCCAAGCAAAGCAATCCACCAAGTCACTTCTCCAAAGCTCCAGAATCCCAAACCGACCACTAAGCCAACATCCAACATCCAGCGATAGCAGTAGTAGTACGCACTCCAGTCACGTGACAGAAAAGCAGCGGCCGCATCCAAGGCTTCTTCTCCCGTGTTCAAGCAAAGCAAGCCACCAAGTCACTTCTCCAGAGCTCCAGAATCCCAAACCGACCGCTAAGTCAACTTGGGTCTGTGGGAGTCTGTGTTTGTTTGGCTCCTGGGTGGCTCGCACACCGTGGCACTATGGCGGAAGTATAGTAGAGTTTTTCCGGCCTCTAATTTCCCAATACTTTAAAATTCTCCGTGAAGTCCAAATTTGAAATTGCAATTTGTATTTGCCCGCAGTGGGCATAGTTTGATGCGCTCCCCATGATATCAAGCGAATGGCCGAGGGCCCTATTGATTGGTGTGAGTTGCCAGTATGATGCAAGCCAGATATGGATTGATTGAAGAAGGATAGATTTACCATCACTGTGGATAAGAGTCATACTGTAGCTCAGTTAGTTAGAGCATTGCTCGCGAATAGCAAGGTCCCTGGTTCGAGTCCCGGTGGTGTGACTGATGATTTTTTCTTTCTTTCATATCTGGCTTGCAAGTGTTCAGTTTCGGAGAGAAAAGAGCAGTACGTGTCATGTGGCCTCCAATTTCCCAACACATTAAAATTCTCCGTGAAGTCCAATTTTGAAATTGCTACTTGAAGTATAAATATAAGAATAATTTCTCTTCTTTTGTGGACTTGTTATCTTTGCAGTACACCTCCAACTCGGCAATACACAGTAAAACCTGTCAAGGCGACCACTCGGTGGCGACCACCTGTCCTAGAAGACCACAGAAACCAGGACCGAGGGATGCTTATTCCAGTCAAATGAACCTGGACAAACAGACCACCTGGTAATAAAGACCACCTTGTGAAGGTCCCTTGAGCGGTCGTCTTAGACAGGTTTCACTGCACAACGCCCTCGGCTACACCACGTACAACGATTGTTTCGCCACCTTGCTCCAGTGGAACCAAGACGTGAGATCGGTGTTAATTAAGCAGAGAAACACTCTTGTCACCAACGTAACCGTTGAAATGGCAACAGTTGAACATGGGTAAACGTGAGGCCGCAGCTGGTGTCAAAATGTCGTCATGAAACGAAGTGTGGCTTGTCAAATGTAAGGATGTGAAACCTTAGCGCTCAATAGACGTGTACATGTACATGTATAGCCAACCCCCCCCCTCCCACCCCCACCTCCATAGTGCAACTCTGATTGTACCTGTTTGCTTCGTGATAACACTGTCACACTCGCTTGAAGTCGCTTCTCTTCGTGCTATCCGTCTCACAGTACGATGAATCAACGCCCATTTATACGTTGAAAGTTTCGAATTGTAAGAACATTTTCCATTAAGTGAGTGGTTCACTTTGCAAGAATGTGCTGTAGAGACATTTGAAAGGTTATCCACCGGTCTTTCTGTTCTGTGTTTTCTCTTTTTCTTACGGATAACGGTAACATACTACATCGAGATGTCATCCATCGGAGAACGGGGTGTTGAAGAGCAGGACGCTGAAGAGCCAGATTTCCAAAAGCTTCACGACCAAGAGCAGGACGCCCAAGAACCGGACACCCAAGGGCAGGACACCCAAGGGCAGGACGCCCAAGATCCGGACACCCAAGGCCAGCACACTCAAGGGCAAAACACCCAAGAGCGGGACGACCAAGAGCGGGACGACCAAGAGCGGTCCGCTGAAAAAGGGCCGTGTCGGGATTCTCAAGAGCTACGCGCCCAGGAGCCAGATGCCCAAGCCAAGGAACCGTCATGCTGGGGTTGTGAATTCCGGGATGCCCGAGAACGGCTCGCCCGAGAAGAGCTCGCCCGACAGCGGAATGCCCAAGAGCAGTCCGGCAGAGCATGGCTCGCATCAGTGCAGGATACGCAAGCTGGGCGACAGGCATTCCGGGAATCCCAGGAGCGGCTGACACAAGCGCAGGCCGAAGGAATGCGGCTCACCCAAGGTTTGCATGGGCATGCTCTTGGGCAGGACGCCCAAGAGCCGGACACCCAAGGGCAGGACACTCAAGGACAAAACACCCAAGAGCGGGACGACCAAGAGCGGGACGACCAAGAGCGGTCCGCTGAAAAAGGGCCGTGTGGGGATTCTCAAGAGCTACGCGCCCAGGAGCCAGATGCCCAAGCCAAGGAAACGGCATGCTGGGGTTGTGAATTCCGGGATGCCCGAGAACGGCTCGCCCGAGAAGAGCTCGCCCGACAGCGGTATGCCCAAGAGCAGTCCGACAGAGCATGGCTCGCATCAGTGCAGGATACGCAAGCTGGCCGACAGGCATTCCGGGAATACCAGGAGCGGCTGACACAAGCGCAGGCCGAAGGAAAGCGGCTCACCCAAGGTTTGCATGGGCATGCTCTTGGGCAGGACGCCCAAGACCGGCAAGCTACACAGGAGCAGAGGGATGCCCAAGGCGAAAAACAGCCAGAAAAGGTTCCACAGGAGTGGTCGTTCCCTGGAGAGCTTCTCGCTTACATGACACTGTACATGTAGGTGCGGTATGTGCAAAAAGTGGCAAGTGGCAAGTCCAGTCCACGCTGCGAAACATTATCTAAAGATGTTACGCCCAAAAACTGGAGCCGGACGCCCCACAGCGGGACCAGGACGCGCCCAACAGGAGGACCAGGACGCTCAACTGCGGGAGAAGGACGCCCTAAACCGGGAGCTGGACCCCCTAAATCGGGAGCAGGCCGCCCAAATTCGGGAACTCTGCGACCAAAATCGGGAGCAGGACGACACCAAAAACCAGGACACGGAAGTGCGGGGCGCAGGAAAACGGCCATGCTCCCATCCTGATCCTAAATCTGACCAATAAGGTCATAGTACTCTGCATTTTTACGGCCTGTGATAGTGTACCGGAATAGGTTAGTTTGGTTTTCTTTTGGGCATGCAAGACCAATATTCAAGTAGCAAATTTACTACATGTAGCAGTAGTCCAGCAGGATACATGCACATAATAATAATAATAATAATAATATCTTTATTAGGATGACCCAGAGGCTTGTCGCCTATCAAGACATGTATATACAACTATCAGTCTTCTGCCCACAAGGATGCTTTTTAGTCAGTGTTACCGATTAGGCAAGTACATGTACATAGTCATTGTACAGTCCTGGCTGAAGAAATTTCACCTCATGAATACGTGAGCGAATTCACGCCAGAATGCATTTACAGCATTGTTGCATACTGTATAGCTTGTTCACATACTGTATCCATCGCACATCTTGATTACTAGTATTTTCTTTTCTTGTCTAGATACGTACGCCGTGCACTTCCTGTGTCATGTCTTGCCACGCCAACCTCGTTCGGAATTCTCTGCCAGATCCAAGCCGAACAATGGCACAATGTCAATGGATATGCTCGAGGCTGTTATTAATCTGTAAGAGTTGTCTGGCTTTCAACATAATAATTATACTTGAAGCAATTGTGTGTCATTCCATTCTGATGTACTATCCTGCACAAGAACCAGACTTAAACACTCAACACGATAGGCTTTGACAGGCTTTGACAACAACATTTGTTTTACTGAAGGCGCAACCTACTCGTTATAAGAGTGGAGAGAAGTAGCAGGGCAACACAACCAGGTGAACAGGAGGGGTTCCGAGAATGAACCTTGGCTTCTAAGGAAAGCCAACAACGCCGACCAATGGTCTCGACCAAAGTTGGTAGTGATACCGTTTTGTTCGCACAATTCAGGTCTCAATTTACGGATGTATATGTACATGTTCACATCGTTCAACCCTTTCCACTGTGGAAAATACCAACAAACAAAGTTCATGACGTCAAACCAAGCATCATCACACGACTTACATGTACTACAATCATCCTTAGTGCATTAGTGGCATAATCACCTCGCCTTGAAGCTCGTCCTTGACCATTTTCTCTGGAGCAAATTCTTCGAGGCATTCCTTCTTCGTGGGACCCAATGGGGCTGAGAGACGTAGTGGTCGAGTTGGATCTGACACAACACCGCTGAATTGGTCACTGAGCTGTGAGACACTGACGGCTGGTGGAACTGAAAACGTATTACGACCGCTGAGGTAGTTGATGGTCTGACAGGTTTTTCGTGCGTTGGCCTGACTAGCAGCAAGAAGGTCCCTAAAGTAGGTGGCTCGGAGATGTCGTGACATACGCTTGGCTTCGTCTCGGGCAGAAGTGAAGACATTGCGTAGAGCCGGGTCTGCAGGCGATGCTTTCCACCGTCGATGGGCAGCGTCACGTCGCTAGACTAGGTCATGTAGAGCTGGCGTCTTCCAGGGGAAAGATTTCCGGGTAGGAGCTTTAGGGCGGTTAAGACGAATAGGAGTGTTCAAGACAGCGACACGTTTCTACACGTTTCTCCAGCCACATATCCCACATTTCATCTTCCGTCTGCGCAAAGCAGAAGTTCTCTAGATCGCTATTTAGAAGGTCATGTGCAAATTGACCCATATCTATTCTTGCAATGTTACAGCCACGTCGCACGGTCGGTGTGCAGGACGTTGTGAGTCGCAAATCAAGTGCCAGAGCGAAGTGGTCACTGATTGTACAAGGTACTACGACACAAGAGTTCACATGATCGTCTCCGACCAGAGCGAAATCCAGGGTTGTTTGGCTGCCCTGGGGTCCAACTCTGGTAGGACTGTCCACTTAGTTCTTGATGTCGAAAGAATTACACAGGTGCAGCAAGCTGTTTAGCTGCGGGCTGTCGCGGGAGCTTACATCGACATTGAAGTCTCCAACAAGGACCAGAGGTGACGTGGTAAGTGTGGAGACGACAGTGTCTAGTGCATTCGTCAAGTCTTGCCAGAATTGCACAGGAGTGCCTGGAGGACGTTAACACCACCAAGGAGAACCTTGTAACGCTGCCCGCTGACCTCAAACATGAGCATTTCTACCTGGGTGTCAGCCTTCACAATTCGGGCTCGGAGATGATCTCTTACATATGCTGCTAAGCCTCCGCCATGAGTTGGCCTGTCGCGTCTGACCAGGGTGTAATTCTGTATGCGTAGGATGTCATCGGAAATGGAGGTTGTTTTAAAAGAAAGTCTCTGCCAGCATCATTACATCAACTTTATGGGAAAGAATATAATCTTCAATTTCATGCTCTTTATTGAGAAGATGGCAAACATTTAGGAATCCTATTGATTGATTGATTGATTTTATTTGGATTCGCGAGACCAAACGAGCAGGAGTGCTCAATAACAGGGCAGCGAATGGTTGAGTTGTGCTATGTGACAATGAAGTGTGTGCGTGGGGGGGGGGGCAATACAATGTAAGGGGATGGGAGGAGAGAAGGCCAGCGGAGAGTCAAATTCAGAAGAGGGAGGAGAGAATAGCTGAAGTACACGGTTACTGAGCGAATTCAAATAAACCAAACAAACAGCAAAACAAGTACACAGCTCACGAGAATAAAGAGGACTGGAGCACAGAATTGAACTGCTGAAGTACACAGCTGACCAGAATAAAGACAGGAGCACAGAAATGAACGGGAGGCAGTCTATGAAGTGGTGGTACCATCGGTGCATGCACCACGGTACATTATCATATTATCGGCTTTGCAAAGTTTGTGGGTACTGAATACCACCATCATACCATGCCATGGTATGACCAACTGTGTAGCAGTCTACAACGTGTAGGGAATGGCAGCTCGGCGGAATGCTGGGATGTTGCCCATGGCTCGCACCGTGTCAGGTATATGGTTCCATAACAGGCAACCGCGAGATGCTGGTCGGCATTGGCCTGCTCGGCTTCTGGCTATTGGTTGTTGCAGGCCCAGACTGCGCTGAAGGCGAGTTGCTCCGCAGTTGCGGACAAACAGTGCCTGCAGAGCAGGACTGGCACGGTTATGAACGCACCACCATACCAGCACGAGCAGTTTCTGGCGATATACCTCGTCCACGCGATAAACAGAGAGCTTCTCCAAGAGGTCACTGGCCCTGGTAAATCGTGGTCGTCCGAACACCGCCCTTGCTGCGCGGTTTTGGGCCACCTGCAAGCGGTTTAGCTGGTTGTGGGTCAAGCCAGAGCCATATGCTGACGATCCATATATCAAATCCGGCATGATGACAGATAGAAAGTATTTGCTTCGACTAGCTAGAGTGAGGCAACGTCGCGCCCACCACAGACTACCGATCTTCCTAGCAGTGCGTGAGATGCACCGGTCAACTTGCGGTTGCCAGGCCATTCGTTCATCGATCAAGATGCCGAGGTATTTCGCGCTGGTGGTGTGCGGAAGGACATCATTTCGACAGCGTACAACCACGTCCGGCTGCTGCCCACTGCTGCTGGTAAAAACCAATACATTGCTCTTCTTTGCATTTAATACAAGACCACGAGCGTCCAGCCAACTTGAGAGGGAGGTAACCGCCAAGCTGAGCGCATCAGACACCCCTTGCGCTGTCCGTCTTGCACATGTCAGGGCGATGTCGTCCGCAAACTGCAGTGATGATGCCGGCGCAGATTCAGAGGGGACATCTCTGGTGTATTATGGAGAACAGCATGGGTCCTAGTACCGAGCCCTGCGGCACACCACACGTGCACGGTACAGTTCTGCCCAGTCGAGAGCCCATACGAACGCGTTGATGGCGCCCAGACAGATAGTCCCGAAACCATTTCAGGGCTGTGCCGGAGATACCGATGCTGAACAAGTCCTGGATGAGGGTGGCATGCTTCACCTTGTCGAAGGCTTTACTCATATCTAACAGGCGTGTTGCTACAACAGAACCATTGTCTCGGGCTTGGAGGACGGTGTCCGGGAGCAGTGCCAGTGCATCTTCGGTCGAGTGTCCAGGACGGAATGCAAACTGGGTGTTAGGGAGAGCTGGGTCGACGAAGTCAACCAGGGCTGTCTGCACCAGCTTTTCGAGTAGCTTAGAGATCACGGGTAGCAGCGTATTATACTATTCTGAGGTTACTTTTAACTAATTCATGTTGTAGGGGATTTACAGTGGGGCAAATATTTCGTGGCTGAAAGATAGGTGCATGAGGGTTTAAGGGTTGAAAGGGGGCTGCGTGAGGATTTAAACAGAACATTTAGTGCTCCTCTGCAGCGCGACCAATTGCTACACTGTCAGGCTTGAAGCGCCATTCTCTTTCAAATAGGGCTTTCAAATACAAGATCCTAACGTGAAGTATCTTGGAAGAATAAGTATGTATGCGAAGTGTATCGGGGGATGCATGCAGGGCGATAGTGCGGGTTCGAATCCCAGGTTATGTCTAAAAACAAAAAGTAGAAATTTATAAAAGTTTATAACATCCCTATGCTTTTTTTGTCTAGGTCATCAAGGCAAAAAAGCATAGCGTAGGGCCCTACAGTCCGTTTCAAAAAGATTTACAATCCTGGCGATCGCCCGCGGAGTTTGGCGTCTTACCGTATGAGCACTCGAGCGCTGCCTGGAAAAACTCACTGTGAACTCGAAGAAATATTCCGCGCGAAAGCAGGAAAAATGACAACTCACTCACGTTGACACAGTCATGTACATGCATGTACGTCTGGTTTACAACAAACGAGT